GGGGGCGGCCGGCGGCTCAGCTCTTGGGTCACCACACTCACTTGGTTACAGTTTGTTAGTTTATGTACCTTTTGTTTTGCTTCAGAAGAAGATTGGAAGAATAAATATTTTTTAATATATTAATAATATTTATGTACGTAGTTATTTTGATCACATTCTACTATAGAATAATCTATATTATCTTACAACAAGAGCTACTGGATAGATTTCCTTTTACCTCTTTAGAATTCTCTAAGTACTATGCAACGAAGAATGGTGTGAGTTTAAATGGCGAGCGAATGCGAAGTAATAAAGGAGGAAATGAAACAGATGTAGCTTCTTGTTTGATTTCCTGTCACGTTTGTGTCTGAACAAACCTTCAATAGCTTTCGGGAGTACGGGCATAAAAGAAGAAGTAGAAAACAGTTCGGCGTGCATTCCCTCCGGTCGTTCCCGTCGGGATCTTTGCGAAGCGTGAGGGAAAATGGAATAGGGAAGTTGTGGAGTGCGGGTCCTTCAGCGAGTACGAAGTACAGATCTCGTTAAGTAAAGGGCAGGCGGAGAAGCCGAGCGGGAATAGAGAGCGGGCGGGCGCCGCGATCCGTGAAGACACTTGTCGTGTTCTCGTGGACACGGAATCAATGACAGGACGAGAGCGGGAGACAGGGGGAGAGAGAGAGAGAGGGAGCGGGAAGGACTATAAAGCAAGCGAGCGGGGGAACCGCGGCGTCGCAAGTGTCAGACGAAAGACTATCAGACTAACACGACTACGGCACGTGAGTACAGGCACCGACTCTAGATAGAGACAGATATAGAGATGGTGTGTGTGTTTGGTGTGAATGAACTCGTTAAAGCTAATTCTAGAATTTGAGAAATCAATTATTAAACGCTTTTATTTTGAAAGTGAACTGCGAGATAACGAGCATTTTAATGCAAATGTTAATTATTTTGTGAAACAAGTAGCGACTTTAAGTAGGTCAAATATTCGTTCATCTATTGTTAATTAAACGAGAAACGAAATGAATGATTGCACAAATGCAATGATTTTGATATCAGTGAACGTATATTCATACATGCTCAATTCACCTCATGTCCCTAGCATCTATTTATATTAACAGTTTACGTAATATTGCTTATGAGTATGGTCTGAACTTGAACCTGCGTTCCTTGGTTTCCTCCTTACATATTTTTTTTGTGTTCCATCCGGACGAACAATAACTTGATACGCTATCTGTTTCTTTCGGTAGTTGTGTACACAGGAAAAACGCATACCATCCAATTATTGCAGATTAAAAAACAATCCCCGAGAGAGCCCTTTAATAGGAAAACCCGCGTGAAGGGGTTGAGGGATATTTTTTCTCCTCCCCCTGCAGCGCGTCTCCTAGGGCCAAGTGGGCGGCGGAGAAAAGCGGTTGGTTCTACGAAAGCGAGAGAGTTTGGTCCCACGGTTCTAGTGCTTCTACGACATGTTTCTTTGTCTTCTTTTTCAGGTTTTGTTTTCCTTTCCCCCCCCAGACGCAAGAGACGATCGAAAGGCGGCGGGGCTGGCACGGGCGGCGGGGGGGGGGGGCAGCGGGGCGGGACGGTGACACGTTTCCCCCGCCACCTCCCCACTACTTCCCGCCCCCCCCGTCCCGCACCCCCGACGGGCACTAGGCCTCCCCGCTTGCCACGCCTAGCCCGGCGCTCGGCGGGTCGCCGGCCCAGGCGCTATTGACTAGCGAGGCGGGCGAGTTGTCCTAACGCTGTACTGCGTCTCGTGATGCATGCGGGGAGGAAAGCGTCTCTGCGTTGGTGTGGAGGTAGTTGCGAAAATTGGATTGCTTTGAGGGGGAAAAAGAGAAAATACGCCCAAGTTCCAGAACGTTTTCATGTGTTTTTGTTAGTTTTTTTAATGTAGAGAGAATTTAAGTGATTAGAACTTACGCGAGCGTGGTGATGAGATTTTTCATTTGCTCTGGCGGCTTGTGAGATGTGTTTAATGAAAGACAATCCGTGGAAACGTTGCCGTCCAACTGTAGTGTACAAACCGCGCCGCTTTATTTTCACATATTAATTGGGAATTGTACTCGTTTATTAATTTAAATAAACGGACTTAAGAAGAAATACAAAGTGCAGGGTTTAAGGATGATAGCAGTTTTTTCCATAAGCAAACATACTGGCCGATTTGAAGAATTGTTAATTAATGTTCGAACAATTACGGAGTTCTGGAACGTTCGTATTATTCTAATAAAAGAAATCTCAAAAAACTCTGCGCGCTAACCTACTATCGCAGTCGTGCGTTAAAATTGTTCTGACTACTGACCGCCGTAAGCGTAAACAAGCGTACTCTGCACGAGACAAGCGTACGCGCACCTTCTGAAAGCCCAGCATTTGACAGACTTTCGGCAATGATTCAGACAACCCGAAAAGAATACAGTATGCGACTGCAATATTAATGTATATTAACACTTAGTTCTCACACTAGAAGGCTACGTATTAATGACTCGTACATACGTCTGTTTGAGCGACAGTGCGGACCAAGGTGCGGCCGTGTGGCCCGTGGCCTGAGAGACCCGGGTCTGGCCGTACGTTCAGATCTCTAATTGGTCAATTTTTCGGGAGTAGTTGCAGAGAGCGTATGACTACTCGTGCGCAAGGCATTACGAAGGACGTTGAGGAAACGACTTGCAAGGTGGTAACCAATAATTTATTTCCTTTTCGGAATGGCGGTTGAGAGGTTTGAATTCCTGTTAACCACAAGCCTAAAAATCACCCGAGCCCGAATAGTGCTCTGAAAGAAGTGTACATGAAAAGCGACACAAGTGCTACCAATTGTCATAAGTGTTCACGAAGCGGTTATTATAGCACAATTACGTAAGCACGAACATGATTTGGCCTCTGAAGCTCTGCGGGAAACGCAGTACAAATATCAATGAGTTATATAGCAAATTGTATGTGCACTTAGAATTAAACAACTTCTTTTTAAATGAGAAGTTTTAAAGCTACTTGAGAGGTTTCTGCGACACGACAAGTAGATGAGTATATAATAAGTACTTGAGGCAATAATGGTAATCATGTCGTTCCCTTCCGAAAAATTGACTGTGGCTGACAAATCCTAGAATCGTGTGTGGAGGAGTACCTAACTGCAAAGGAACTACCCGGATATTCGCAGAGAGCTGCGTGTTTTTGCACTACCCTCGCTAGTAGCCTACCAGCTCTACACAGCACTACGTACGTGCCTGACTACCCATTCTACGGCGGGTTCTTCCCACCACAAACGAAGAACGAATCACAATGAATCAAGATGAAAGTGTGAGTGTGACTTAGGAACGTTAATGCAATAATGAGTGAAAAATCCCGAGCATTGCTTGACAAATCTCCTGCAAATAGCATACTTTACTCTTCCAAATAAATATAAAGGAATTCTTCAGATGTACTAATCTAAATATCACTGTGGATGACACATCTGGAATTAATTAAATATATTTTAAAACTTGTTTTACCATGCACGTATTATGTTCTCTAATTTTGATATCGTTAACACGGCATTAACCTTCTAACTTTGAGAATATTAGATAACATTTTAATGACAAGATAGAACTTTAAAATGTCGTTGATTTTATTCTTTTTACAAGTTCTTTTAGAGTGCTGAGTTAGTTTCAAGTTAAGATGAACCTTGTTTAGTATGGGTGGTATTACGTCCTTCACTACGGCACATAATTCGCTTTTTACATTAGTAACGAGCTCTCGTGTAAAATTGGTGTTCGTATCTCAATGGAAATTGTGCGCACAGCCAACTCGGACTGTCTTCAAAAGACCAAAAACATCATCACTCCTCGCCTCGAGGGCAGAATCAGGCCATAAAAGTGGACTCCTTCGAGACGAAGCAAAAAACATCGCCGACAAATGGCCGGTGTCTCACATGGATCTCACTCAACATTTCCTTAGCATTTGTTTATGGATTTAATCGATTAACGTGGCATTTAATCGTTGTATGTGAGCACTATCAGCTAAAAGGAGAAAAATCTCTATGGACAGTCAAAAGTTCATTTAGTACAATAGAGCTTCCACGTAGAAGGGGAGAGCGCAGCTGTGTGCGCCGTCGTCTCCCCTTCGAGAACAAAGTACAAACAAGAGCATGACGCAAGGCGGTGCAGCGGATGGCATCGCACGCAACGTCCCTTCTGCCCTGGCTCCCGCTTGACGATCGCGTCGACAACTCCGGCGGCCGGCGGTGGCTCAGGGCGCCGCTCACGGCGGGTCCGTCACCTCCTTGGCGCGGATGGCCTTGAGCAGGTGGCTGCGCAGCTCCGACTCGGAGCTGCGCCACAGCGCCACCAGCTCCTCGCGCTCAAGGCGCTCCAGCGGCGAGTTGCCGTCGGCGGTGGTGCCGTTGCGCGGGTTGCAGCACGGCGGGGGCGGCGGCGGCGGGATGTCGTCGAAGACGTCGTCCGCGTAGTCGCCCGACAGCTGGTGCGGGCTCAGCGAGATGGAGGAGGCCGACAGCTGCGGCCGCGCCGCGGGCTCCCCGTCCACGGGCGAGCTCTGGTGGCGGCGCCGCGCGAAGCGGTGCGCGGGCGCCGACGCGGACGACGACGACGCCGCCGCCGCTGCCGCAGCCGCTGCCTGGCGCCGCTGCTTGGCCTTGCGCGCCACCGCCCCCGGCGACGACGGCAGCCCCAGCTGCTTCTCCGGCGCCGGCAGCCCCGACGCGGGCGGCGCTTCGCACTCCACCTCCACCGGGAACCACGAGGACAGGCACGTTAACAGGCGACGCTCAGGCAGCCAGACTACGTATTATACATAGCAACACTCTGAACAAATGAGAATAAAATGATTTAAGGCTGTATTTAGTTTTCCGAGAGACACCTCGGTCTATGCACAGATTCCAACGATTTGAACGGCACCCCCCCACCCCGAGGAAGGTCGCAGAATGTCGGCCAAACGTTGGCAAACGTTCCTAGGACGTGTGTCTGCTGGTCAGCCAAGTAGATACTGACTCCGGTCGCCGAAGCTGAAGTTTTAATTTAAGATTATGGTTTCGAAGGAAACTTCATTTTATATATCTTCTTATTTTCATCAACGAGTTTGAGGAGAGAATGAGATTGAGAAACTACAAAGCACAGGTTTAGTCTAATGGAAAACAGAGAATTAAAATTCTCTGAAATTTTGACTAGAACCAAAGACACGGATTCAGAACTGCCTAGCAAAGAACATCTCTTCATGATCTGAGCATACGATTTATCCCATTGAAACTGAAAAAGAACTGGAGAAGCACTTAGCTGGGGGTGAACTATATCTATAAGTAAGGTATTACAAAGGATTTTCACATGTAAGTGATCAGATGTAACTATAAAAACTGTAAAGACGTGATTGAAATGCATCATGAAGTTGCAAGCGACTCATAGCGTATTGTTTTATCTTATCTGGTGCTCTCCGCTGAACGTACGTAAGCAAGCTAGAGGAAATATATTCTTTATTGGAATACTGACGTGAAATGTAGAACACAAGAACTATATAAAGGAGTAATAACTCAGTATAAGTCAGTATTACTCTGCCAAGGTTTCACCGATTTACTCATATGTGAATGAAAATGTACAGAAATGTGTTTCTTTTTCAAATATCTTATTGACTCCCTTCAAAATTGATCTCCGTTGGTGACCTTTCTCGTAAACAATAAAAGAAGCTAAGAAGCTCTAGTGGGTTCGTAGGCTTCCGCGGCTGGAGTCAATGCATTCTTGGCTATCCGGGATGAGCCGCGTCTCGGTCAATTGTTCTGACTTTTCGGCCATCTTGCTGAGGCATTCTTCAGATCTTCTATATTGCTGTAGCAGTATAGCTCTGAAGAAGGCCACGGTAAGATGGCAGTCAACGTCAGTACAATTGACCGCGACGCGGCTCATCCCGGATAGCCAAGAGCGCAAGAAGCTGTAGTAGCCGAGCGGACAAGTACCTCTACGGTGGTCTGCAGCCGGCAGTCGCCTCCGGCGGGCGTCTTCTTCTCGGGCGTCTCGCAGCACGTGACGTTCACCTCGATGATGGACTCGTAGGGCGCGAACTCCGCCGACAGCTTGGGGCGCCGGGGCCGCGGGGAGAGCGCGGGCGCCGCGGGGCCGCTGTGCGCCGTGAGCCGGCCGTCGCCGTGGCCGGCGGCGGCGAGCGTCGTCTCGGGACGGTTGAGGATTCTCGTCGTGCGCGAGGCGCGACGACGACGTCGTCTTTGGGTTCTCGAGGCTGCGGCTGCGCTCCGGAGGCGCGTTGAGCTCGCTGCGCGAGGCGGTGGTGCGAGGGCGCGCGCGGCGCCAGTCGCCACGCCTTCCGGCGGGCGGGCTCGATGGGGACAGCAGCGAACCCGCTCGCCGCCGCCCGCGCCGCCCGCGTCGCCTGCGGTGTGAAGTGTACTGGTTGCGCAGACCGGACCGGAGACCCACCGGGACGGTCAGCCTAACGACCGCGACTTGCACGCCAGCATCGACGTACGGCGTCGGGTATAAATACGGCAGTCCGGTGAAGCGTGGAGGCCGTGTGCGTCTCGGCGAACCAGACCGAGAGAAGGCAACGAAAATTACGCCGGGACGCATTAGACAGATTCCCTATCCTTGGCGCCGGCCTCCGACCGGATGCGCCGGCGGAACTTGGGGAACGTCTTGGGCTTGCCGTCGGTCGGGCTCAGGGCCTGCGGGGCATGCGAACCATCAACCTCTCGTCTTACAGGCGAACCATACGAGTATTGTCATTCTTCAGGAGGCATCAGCGGGGCACCAACCCAGCCGGGGTACGCTCTAAGCTCCTGACTGATCTCCCGACATGTGTGGTGCGTGTGAATGTGAGTGTAAGTAAGGGGTGAGAATAAGACGAGGAAGAGGAAGTAAAAATCGCACCAGGTCCGTGGCTTGTTTGTTAGGGTACTACTTTCGCATTCGTCTGGTGTTGAACTGGTGGAGAAACCACGAAAAAATACCGATCAGAGCAGCCGGTCACTGGAATTCTCCTCTAGATAGCGGCCGAATTCCATCTAGCTGTGAAGGTACTATGGGGACTGGAACCTATTAGGGAATCTCTTGTCTTAAATGTTAAGTCTAATATCTTTTTTCTATTTTAATATAAGTTTTTGAATGGATTTTTCATTTCATTTGTTTCACACATGAAATGTATTTTCATTTTAATGGAGATCCCATGGAGACTTCAAGTTTTATGATAATCACTCTGTTTACTTTATTTCATATACGTTTTTATATTATTTCTTCATTTCATATTACTTCTCCGTTTAAGTTAATTTTTCGTCCACAATTTGTCTGATATTCGTAAATACGTAAGTTATATTCTTTGAATAGCGTTTGTAAATACGGAAGAATCAAATAGATATGTCAAGAAGAAGATAATATTAAATATATTTTCTTAATTTGAAAGCAATTAATATTGATAATATTGTTGTGCCTCAATATTTATTATTATTTACATTTGGTACAAAATTTAATATTGTTAGAATGGCACAAAATAAACTCTTTTATTTACAATTATTGTGAAATTTTTTAAATTTTTGCGACTATTTTTGATATCGTTAGTTTCCGTATACGACAGGTCGAGTGCAGAATCACACGTATAACAGGTTGTTGAAGCTTTGTAGCACCGCATTAATTTCGCAAACATTGGGCGAGTTGATGATGTCACCTGCCAATGGACTTTCGAGTGTTATGAATGGTTTTCATCAGGAGGATAAAGCCACTTCATAGCTATTAATTCACAATTCTCAGGTTGTTTTCATTTTCAAATAACATGATTGCGTGAGGTTTCATCGCATTGTTTAATTTTCAAACAAGGTTAATTAGAACTGCTCTGAGCTTGGTTTAGTATCTTACTATAAAGTAATTCCAGTACGATTTTGTCTAATTCAATTTAGTTCAAAGCCAAACAAGTCTGGATTGGCTCATTTCAGTAAACCTGTGTATTCATATTGGGTGTATTGTCATGTGAACACCAGGGAAGCAAGTAATTTCAGTTTGATTTCATTTTATTATTATCGTCTCCACGTCAGACACGTTTGATATGGTTTACTCCAGAAAAATAATACTACACGGTGTATTGGTGCAAGGTCTTTAGTGTATTTAACTCATCCTGCTCTGACAACTAGTAGGCACATGTTTGACGCACACAGTGAGAGTTCTCGTAACTGTCATTCACCGGAACAATATGCTTTGCCTGTCAATCAGGGGCTGAGTAAATACTCGTACTGATTAATGACTGTACTCAGTACTGATTAAATACTCGTTTATTGTTTTGTTTTCTACGAAAATAGATTTAATTCCCGTCAATGAGATGAATGGAATCATAACAATTCGTGTAAATACCGGAAAGGTAGTAATTCACAACGTGCCTCTCTTAGGTGAATTGTAACTATAAAAAACAGGCGTTTTCTCAAATTATTCCAGAATGTTCTAGAGGGAATCGGCTACGAGAGGAATAGAAAACAATAGATCACCTCTCTAGATGCCGCAAATCACCCATCTCTCATTTGAGTTACTAAAAAAACACATTTTATCGAAGAAATTCTCTGATCTCACGACGTGTGTGGTAGTGCAGTGCGTGTGAGTGCGAGTGAGTGTCTGTAATTAAGGAATGAGCATATGACAAGTAAGAGGGAGGAAAGTCCGCACGAGGTCCGTGGATCGTTTGTCATGATACTGCTCCAGCATTACCCTGGTGTTGAACTCGAGAACCACCGAAAACTATCGATCAGATTAGCCGACCCCTAGAATTCTCCTGACAGGGGATGAATTCAACCTAGCTGTGAAGCTACCGTGGGGTATGGAGCCCTAGGACCACCTGATCAGAGTCACTGCAGTGACATGAGTTGATGCCCTGAGCCACCTTTGCCGGTTCCATTGTTGGACCGAAAGTGGTCTAACCTTGAGTGACAACGGACGTAATTACTCAGTATATTCGATTATTAAATAAGACTGTGAAACCAAATCACTTGTATTTAATTGGATTTATTTCAACGTCACCCGGTCGCGGGTGATGAGGTGGCATGGGAAGGGGCCGGGGGTAAGGCGGCACACTCCAATTTAGTTCAATTTCGCTCACCCGGTGGCGTGGGATATGCTGGTGTGGTAAGCGCACCAGTTTCTCAATTTAATTCAATTTATTTCACCCACCCGAGGGCGAGCGATGTGTCGGCGTGGACTGGGGTGGGGAAGCGCACCAGTTTCTCAATTTTTTTTCAATATATTTCCACTACACCCAAGTTGAAAGCAATGCGCCGACGTGGGAAGAAGGCGAGGCGGTGCACCATTTTCTCAATTTAATTCCATTTATCCCGATCACACCCGGTAGCGAGCGATGTGCTGACTTGTAAAGGGGGTGGGGTGGCCAGCTTCTCAATTTAATTCAATTTATCCGAATCACACCCAGTGGAAAACAAAGAGCTGGCATGGGAAGGGGGCGAGGCGGTGCACCACCTTCTCAATGATATCCAATTTATTTCGACCAAACCCTGTGGCTAGCGATGTCCCCCAGTGGGTAGAAGCAGGGTCAAGCACCATCTTCTCAATTAAATTTAATTCATTTCGACGGCACCCGGTGACGAGCGATGTGCCGGCGTGGGAACGGTTGGAGTGGTGCTCCAGCTTCTCAATGTATCACATCGATCACATCCGGTGGAGAGCAATGAGGTAGCGAATTATCCCGATCACACCCGGTGGAGAGCCAATGAGTAGCGGAATTATCCCGATCACCACCCTGGTGGAGAGCAATGAGGTAGGCCCGAATTATCCCGATCACACCGGTGAGAGGCAATGACGGTAGCGAATTAATCCCGATCACACCCGGTGAGAGCAATGAGGTAGCGAAATTTATCCCGATCACACCCGGGGAGAGAATGAGGAGCGATTTATTCCGATTCACACCTGGGTGGAGAGCAATGATGGTAAGGCGAATTACCCGATACACCCGGTGGAGAGCCAATGAGGTAGCGAACTTATCCCGATCCACACACCGGTGGACGAGCAATGACGTAGCGAATTATTCCCGATCACACGGTGGAGAGCAATGAGGTAGCGAATTATCCCGATCACACCCGGTGGGAGCAATGATGGTAGACGATTAAAATCCGGATCACACCCGGTGGAGAACGCAATGAGGTAGCGAATTATCCCGATCACACCCGTGGAAAGCAATAGTAGCGAATATCCCGATCACACCCGGTGGAGAGCAATGAGTAAGCGATTTATCCCGATCACACCCGGTGGAGAGCAATGAGGTAGCGAATTATCCACGATCACCACCGTGGAGAGCAATGAATGTAGCGATTTATCCCCAATCATACCTGGTGGAAGAACAATAGGTAGCATTATCCGCGATCACACCCGCGTTGGAGATAGCAATGAGGTAGCGATTTATCCCGATCACACCCGGTGGAGAGCATTAAGAAGAGGGCGAGGTGGCGGACCAGCTTCTCAATTTAATTCAATACATTTCGACCACACCCGGAGGAAAGGAGAGCAACGAGATGGGAAAGCGGCGGGGGCGTGTCGTCGCACCTGCTTCTCCATGGCGGAAGTGCTGCCGCCGGCACCGCCGCCGCCTCCACCGCCTGGCAGCGGACTGCGTGACCTCGAGCGCGAGAGGGCCTCGTGCGGCGAGCTCACGTTGCTGCTGCTTTGGCTGGCGGACGGCCACAGCGCGTTGAGGCGCAGCCCCACGTTGGGGTTCTCCTGCACGTAGCTCACGCTGTACTGGCGCGGCTTGTTGATGGCCAGGAAGCTGCCGCTCTCGTGCACCTGCGCCACGCCAAGCAACAGAGATGTCTCAGTCGCACTCAACGAAGTACCTTAATGTTTGAAATTTGATTAGCAATTGCAGTGATAGCAATGATTGCTAATAAATTTGATTGCATAAACACTACTGATTCCAGCAAATTAAATATATCCGTACGGAATAATTTGGCAGAATTAATGTAAGATAGGTGTTTAGCTGTAAAAACTATTTTTTGATTATTAAGGGTAATCACGTTTGATTAGTACTTGATTACAGTGAAAACTAATCTGACTTTTTACGGAATTAGCAATGAGAAGTAGTAGGATATATATTTAAGTCCTGAAATAAATGCAATACTAAAACATAATATTTTACATTAAAAAGAATGTACATTTTTTATATATTAATATCTTAATTTTTTACACAGCTTATCAGCATGTGCTGTGTAGCATGTGCATGTGTGAATTATTTTTTGCAAACATTTTAATGGAAGTAGTAATGTACTACTGCAAAGCAACGATTCATTTTAGAAAGTTAGGGATACGTTTCCTCGTTTGCATATTTTACATCTTTTATTCCTTTTATCACAATAAAAGATGTTAAATGCGGTATCTATAAGACGTTGCAACTGTATCTCTTTAAACACTACATAAATACGCACATGCTACAATAAAATTGTCAATATTTTATTAAACAATATTCATTTTCCCCTCCTACGTCACATACAGTTTTTACTGTTTTTTGACTGAATAAATCTAAAATTGGTCCATTTTCTTCACCAGTATCTCTCCAATTGGACACGGCATACTCCGTCTTTTTTCTTTAATTGTTGATTTTATTTTTCAACAATGCACAACACATATATAATTGAAATTGTTACTTAGAAATTGCTTTAAGAAGGGACCAATTTGACAAGTCAGAAAACGAATGAAGGCCATACTATTAAATGGCTTTGAAGGAAGTTTTGTCGAATCATTTTGCAAGTGAGCCATTGAGAACATGGACAATTGAGGACATGGACATAACTTGCAGTTATGTTGCCATCCGTAGTCAATCAGTGGCTTGGAGAAAACTAGTGAAAACTATACAACATGGAGAAGTGGCGCAACCAAGAGGGAGAGATCTCTTGGGGATTCAGCCTGCCACAGAATCCGAAGAAACATATCTAGATACAGATGTAGCGTTTTCCAATTTTCAATGACAACAAAAGTCATTCAATATCTCAATTGAATATGTTATAACTAAAGACAGAGAAATAAAATGTTTAGTTCTGCAAAAATGAAATTTCTTCATAAGAATACCCAAAGCCCGCTAGACAGTACCCCTCCAGTGCCCCGCATGAGAACATCCTGGCTGCGTCTCTGATCGAGCAATTGCGAAGCGGAGTGCACCCACCGGACTGGTGTTGAGGTGCGCGAGGCTGGGGCGGCTGCCGGAGGCGGCGCCGGGCGTGGGCGAGGGCGACGGGGCGCCGTCGGCGCGCCCGCCGCCCGCCCCCGCGGCGTCCAGGTTGCTCATGTGGCTGCTGCGGCGCGAGCTGAAGTCGGGCGGGCTGTTAGACCAGCGGCCGCTCGAATCCTTGCTGAGGCGTCGCCCCACCGCGCTGGACGGCAGCTCGAGGCGCGCCTTGCGCGGGCTGAAGATCATGTC